GAGAATTTTTATGCACATACTTTTATGTCAGTATTCATCACCAGTCGATAAGGTCAAGGACCATGTCACTTTAGGTATCACTATGAGCGATTTTATTCTGTTTCAAATTAAATTAGAAGTTACCGTCTATTATTATAAAAAACTTTTTGCAAACCAAGTCGGGACCAAAAGGTCCCTGAGTCCTCCTGTAGTAGACTACGGGTTCATAGACGTCCTCCCGTCAACCCACTGTCGGGACTGTGATTGTCGTTGTCACGAACAGGACTTCGAGCGGTCCTTTGAGTTGAAGTCGACAATGTCGGGCTCCTTATCAGTGTGACTTCACTCCGTGCACGTACCTATATACGATCCCCCCCCCCCCCAGAAAACACAACTCATGTCGTCACGATACGAGTGTTGAGGAAGGACGCGTACACGTGAAAGAGTGACTAGGTGGGTCGGGCACCTAGTTAGGATGCCACCTGGGCGCCTCCCTAGGGAGGTGTTCCAGGCACGTCCAGCTGGGAAGAGACCAAGGGGTAGACCTAGGACCAGGTGGAGGGATTATATCTCTTCGGTGGCCTGGGAGCGCCTTGGGATCCCCCAGTCAGAGCTGGTTGATGTGGCCAGGGAAAAGAAAGTTTGGGGCTCTCTGCTGGAACTGCTACCCCCGCCATCCGACCACGGATAAGCGGGAGAAGATGGATGGATGGATGGATATTAAATGGTGTTATTTTAGATTTCTCTTTAGAACACACACAGTGGCATTGATGCAAAGCAACTGAATCAGGCCCAGCCATTAATATCCAGATCGTCAGTGGTTACACTTCTACACTTATTTCCAACCTTGGTCACCAACAAGAAAGGACAAAAACATCAGCATTGGTTCCGAACCGCAAATGTGACTGTTCTCAAATGTAGTTTTGTGTGTTAGATGGAAAGCCTTGAACTTGCGCACACACAGAAAACTGCAGCTTTAATACGTTTTTTAACACATGCCTGCAGATGGCCCAAATTGCAGAAGCTAGGCCAATACTGATGTTTCCTGTAGGTTGAGGCACTCCAACTCTTTACTCACTCTTTTTTCTTTCACATCAGCGCTGCAGGTTGTAGATTCGATTATTTTAGATTTATCATTAAACACTTAGGTTGAGTGAATGCTATTCTCTCGTGGGTTCGTCTAACATGTTTTGTATGGAAGCTTTTGCCGTTCACAGCATCTGTGTTCCAGTGTGCCAACAATGCAAGTGGGCGCTGTAACAGCCTCCAGCAGCATTGGCAGAAGACGCAGCTGTTGGCTGCTTTAACTTGCCTACTTGCCGCCCACCACAGTTCAGAGGCCTGTTTGACTCATCCCTCTAGAGCTTTTAAAAAGCACCCCCCCTATACTCCGCTAATGACAGCATCATCATGCTGAAGATGAGCAGACACGGACCTCATTTCCTCTCATTCGGACCGAGACATGGTGAGATGAGGATTTTGATCATAGCTGACCTGACTGCAGGGCACAATGGGGGCGAGCAAATGAGCAGGGCTCGAAATATAGTATGGGCCCATTCATTTCTACATGTGAGAGTAGAAGAAAACAATAAGATATGTGTTTTTAAGCTAAAGACAATCCAGTTTTGCTTTTTCTAGCAGGCACAATGTATAGTGTCACTTGCTCTGTCTCCAGTTTACTTCAATTAAAGCCCATGTACCAGATGAGGTCATGTACTGTCTCCTGTAATGGTGGTGTCTCTGTAATGGTGGGCTTGTCAGTCAGAGTTCACCTTAACGTTGAACCTGCAGATGTGCATGTTGGCCAACAGCAAAAAAAGCGAATGTAGTGTGTTTGGAAATGGTCATTATTCTAGAGATGCGCCAACGCCTTGTTAAGAACAATATCACTTCCAGACAACCAGCAGAGACTCCAGTAAGTGACTGGTCCCAATCAGGAAGTAATCCGGCACATTATTTCCTGAGAAAACAGATATGTCTTATTTTGTGATTTTTAAAGGTGCTGGTTGGTCGGTTTGTTACGCTCAGAAAGAGCCAGGTTAGCTGGTTCCAGTCTTTGTGCTAAACTAGGTTGATTTTAATTTGTATTGGACATAACTGAGATTGGTGAGCCAGCAAAAAAATATACATTCATCATAAAAATGTCAAACTATTCCTTTAATCTATCCTAATGTCTTGGCTTACACAACCCAGTCTGTAAGGTTTTGTGTGTCAGCTGAAAAGCAGACTCCCATCTTAAAATAAACATGTATAACAAACACACTGTTGCTGTTTGAGTCCGACAGACTTTCACAAGAGCTGTTGCCTGCTCATGAGTTGTTTACCTGTATCCCTGTACCATAGCGTGCCTGCCTGTTGTAAGGCAGGAATTCCACAGAGAGCCAGTGAAACAGCAGGAGGCCAGAGGATCCAGAGAAAATGGCCATAAACTGGTGCCATTAACTGCAGCGTTCAAACCTTTGCTTCATGTTCTTCTGTTCCCAGCCGCAGTCTCTGCTTCCTTTACCTCTCTCACCTCTCGTTCTTTCTTTTGTTCAAGGTTACTCTGTACTCAGGAAAAAGCCTGAGAGCTATTGAGTTGCCACTTTAGTCATGAGCCATGACCTCCATCTTTTTCTTTTTACTGTTATGGCATAAGTGTTCTGCGCAGTGAGATAGAAAATTGCCACAGCAATGATGCAAACGATACGATAAAAGCATAGATGGAGAACATCTGCTTTATTTGTAACTGTCCCCAGTGAAACATCAGTTACTATAATATACATTTAGAATTTAAAATGAATGAATTGTTATGTGTATCAACGACAGCCCTGCGCTGACTGTGAATGGTGTGAAGGGTTGGTGTTCCTGCTGTAGAGTAAATGTAAAGACCTCTGTTCTGCAGCTCCATATATAGCTTACTCTTACTTCAACATCTACTCCTAAGGTGTTTCTTTTGAACCTTTGCATTGTGTGTGTGGGCTGTTACTGTAAAAGCAGTTCTTTCACCGGGTGTTATGAAAGAGACAGGATTTCCTCTGGACTGCCTGCAAAACACGACCACACCCACTGGGAACAAGAAAACTTTCCCACAGGCTTTGTTATTCTGTTTGTACGAAAGTGCTTTGGACATAATGGGGTTATTAGCAGCTTGATACGTTATATAGAAAGGGTTATAGCAGAAGGCGGGTTATCTGAAATGTTGCCAGACAAAGCAAGTAACGTGCCTGACCTTCTGTAGTTGCTTGTCTCATGCAAACGTCCGCCCACCTGCTGAGCCCCTTTTGAACTTTTTTGATGTCGCCCACACAGACTGCCTTTCAGTCAATGGGTTATATTGTGGTCAGTAACAGAGTGTTTACCACTAGATCATTTTTCTTCTTTCAGACTATGCATCAAACATTTAGAGGAAATACATTCTCTGAGAAGACAGCCTTGCTTTAGAGTTAGCTTAGCCAGAGTTAGCTTAGTATATCTTTGGCAGTTACTAGAAGGACAAAGTTTATTTACAGCTTCCCTGTGGAGATTTTGACCTTTTGTGGTACTATGGAGTTGTTTATCCACGTGTGTGCATGCCCGGTCGGATGAACACGCCAATGGTCTTTGACAGGTGAATCTAATGAGCCACGATATGCAGGCAAAACAGGGAAGAAACAGACCGCTAGCAAGTTAACATGGATGTTAAAAATACAGGATATAAAATACTTGAAATGTACACTTTGCAATTTATTTATCTTTAATGAGGAATGACCAAAAGTACACATTAACTTTATTTGTTTACGGGAACACTCCAAAGGCACCTTTTGAAGTAGAAATGTGTTACAATAACTTTAAGTATGTTCTTCAAGTGTGGTATTAATAATCAATATGACATGTATAGTGTGTTTTCAGTGTTGCTTCAGATCCTCAAGTGTAGGTACCAAGTGTCTTCTTAAAATGACGGATGGAGCTGCATTTTTTTCATGTAGTGTCGTTGCCTCTCCAAACACAGTCCAACATCTTTCTGATATTTGTACCAGAGCATTGGCATTCAGCACAGCTCATCCGAAAACATAATAATATACATCATTCAATTGTGCTTAAGCCTCTTTTATTTCTCAAATCAACACCTCACATCCTCACTAGTCCATCATTATATTTTTCCTTTCATCGCCCGAGACCTAGGATCAGCAGAGGCCTGAGTGATGCGACGCTGTTCTGCTTACTCGGGTAGAAATTCCCCCTTCAGGACGTTTTCTAATAGAATGACGTCTCTCCAGATAGGCCGCATGTTCCCGCTCTGTATGGCCTTGACACACACGCTTTAGCAGAGCTCTGCTCATGATTCACAGGGAGACACCGGTCCATTTGCCTCCTTGTCTGATCGATGACGGATGGGCACAGTCAATGCGCATCTTTAGACATTCAAAGCTCATAGCCAATGAAGACACTGAGCTTCAGAAGTCGCTGCAAGTTTGTCTGATATAATGGCATCTTCTTGTGTCCTTTACACTGTCATACCTGCGTGGGACGGATTCAGTAATTGGCAGGATTGATTTATTCCTCGCTTGCTCTTGTCAAGAAAATATATTGGCCGCTCACTGGAATAATTGAGCCCACCGGTGCAGAGAGAGCAGTTCCCCAGATCCTCGCCAGCACTGAATTGGTGACAAATTAAAGGGACTTCTCTCTCTTCTCTCTTCTGTCACTTGTTCCTCTGAGCTGCCACGCTACTGTCACAGCTTTACTGCTCAGTATGAGACCTTGAATCTTTGGTTGCTCTTGAATTCTTGTGTGTTTCTCCTTTTGTATTCAGCCTGTAGGCATACTGTGGTGTGAAATATGAAATTGGCATCGCATGCTCAAAAAGTTCGCCTCAAGCAGTTTAACTTTCCCTCCTATTCTTTTGACATTTGCCCTATGGAGCAGAAATGACATCAATTTCTCTTGTATTAAGTGATGCTGAGGTTTTAATGTGTTTTCACTAACCCTAATATGAAGGGTCTTTGCTCGTCCATAATGATTTAAAACTAGATTTAATAATACAACAGAATGAAACTGACATGTTAATATGTCATCTCTCTGCAGGTGCCCTCACAGTCGGTCTGGTCCGACAGTGTCAGACCATCCACGGGCGAGACCGGACCTGTATCCCCCCCCGGCTGCCCCCGGAGTGGGTCACCACACTGTTCTTCATCATCATGGGCATCATCTCCCTCACAGTCACCTGTGGACTGCTCGTGGCATCACACTGGCGCCGAGAAGCCACCAAATACGCCCGATGGATCGCCTTTACTGGCAGTAAGTGAACCAGACGATGACATTTGCGCTGGATAAAGTAGTGTTGCTTTACTAGATCGGCTGTCAGCACATTTGCCCTCGGAGCTTTCTCACTGCATCTTTTATGGCATAACCTTTCCAAAGTCACTCTTGCATCTTTAGCTTTGTCATAAGCATTAGTCTTTCAAGGGCAGGAAATAATGGCGATGAGTTTAAAAACGAAGTGAAATATTGGCCCAGATTTGCATTGCTAATTGAAATATGAAAATGAGTGAGATGTCATTTGAGGCTTCATACAGGACCCGTTGTGTGTTTGTGTTTCGGAGTCACGTCAAAACCTGTGTGGGTTTTTTTGTACCACCGTGTGTTTTAGATGCATTTGCAAATTCATGAGTGTTTTTCTTGCAAGTTTAGCAGCTCCTCTGGCTCCCTGAAGCTGATTTATTGAGTCATGTGAAGCTCCTCGGATACCCGAGTGGGTGGCGTATGTGCCACAGCGTCTCTCTAATGCCTTCTCTCCCTGTTTGCCTCGAACATCGCCGCTTATTTTCCGATCATGATTCCTGTGGATGGATGCGCTTCCAGCCACAATAATAACTCAGCATCCATCTAATGTACAGCGGCTGGGCTGTGTGGGAGGGTGGAGTTTGATTGGCCGCTCAGTTAAGGAAAGAGACGGCCTGAAGCACACTAGTACAGATGGAGCGATGGCCCGTGGAGCCACAATGCTCTGTATTATTGTTCGAAAGCTGGGTGCATTTTTCAGAACACTGACTTTTTTGTTCTGCTGATTTGAACAAACACTCAGTGCTTTCGTCAAGATTATTTTCTAAGCCTGCCGGGCCAAATGCAGACTCAGAATCAGCGCTCCCTAATCACTTGCAAACTCCCAATGAATCACCACTTTCTCCACAAACTGGTCCGTCTTTCCAATAAGCACAAATCTGTATCACATCTAAATTGGATGCCGTTAAGTCATTGTTTTACCATCACGCTTAAAGGGAAGTAAGGCTGTTGCCATGGAAACTGTGAGCCATTGTCACCCTTGTCCCCTTATTAAGCTTCAGTTGGCCACATTAGACAGAAGAGGTTTATTGTTGTTATGCTTTTTAATAGGTTTAAAGCAAATTGATGATTGTCAGGAAATAGTGCTGGGGGGATTTTATATATTTAAGGAACAAGGTAGAAGAAGCTTGGTTTGTTGAGAAACAAAAAGTAATCTCTTAATTTTGTTGTAGGACCCCTGTTAGCCTAAGTTGTAGCCGCTGACGGTCAACCTGGGATACTCTGTTATGTCACAAGTCTGTTTAAATTGGAAGAAATGGCAACATTTGACTTTGAAATGACATTCTGTCCCTTGCGATGTTGCTAAATTTGTATCAGCATGCGAACACCTCTCTGCCTTCGGCCCAGCAGAGTGAGCGGGTAAAAGGTCATGTGAGGAAACGGCTTGGGGCTTAGGAAGAGTTGAGTAAAGAAGCCGAGTTGAGTGGAAAATTAATCCTTGTGCAGGGCTGAGAGCCAAGGTAAAGACAAAAATGGACATGGAGAGACGAAGAAAAAAGTGAGGTTGGATTTAAGGAGACAGGTTGGTGCATTCAGGGTAACCAGGGGATGAAGGTTGAGGGAAGGTGGGCCGTCTGTTGTGGAACTCCAGGCCACCGCCTCCTGAATGGAGAGCTTTGTACGTCCAGCACAGACTCGCCTCTGTGTCGCTACACACACACAAACACACACTCACACCAGCAGTGTTTCCCTAAGGTGTGAGAGTCATCTGTAGGAGGGGGACTGGGAGTGGAGTTAAAATGAATACAATGTTTACAGTACATTAACATTTACTGCAGTGGAAATTACAATATATAAATAATTAGGTATTGATTGGAGCCACATACACCTGTATCCAGTCCATCGATCACATTGTTAGTCCATCTTGATTTGAAGAGTAGCTTAACATTAATCCACTCTTTTGAGTTGATAAATAACATGTATACTCCCTTTATTACACTGTATGTGTATCTCCTTGTGTTGAATACCTCATTAGTTATTTAATGAGAAAATAAATACTGTATGTTTGGCTTCCATAAACACAAACATGCAAAAATATTGACTATCACATCATACGAAGAAAGCAGCAAATCCTTACATTTAGAAAGGTGGAAACAGAACATTTTAAACATGAAAAAGGATGAATTATTAATGAGTTCAAAGTATCGTATAAATAGTTCAACCCAATTATTTAAGTTCAAAGGTTATTTCTGTACTAAACATTAGTAGCTATACGTTATTAGTCCATTAGCTAAATTGCTGTAATTCGATCAGCAGCAGGTTAGCGAGGCGCCGTGTGTCATCAGTTCAGGCTTTTAAGAGAAGCAGTGAACCGTGATGTGCACTTTAATTAACTCTCTGGTGAAGCTTGCAGGAGAAATGCTGAGCCATGTATTTCTGGCCAAAGTTTAGCTTACCGTATCCCTTTGCAATCTCGCCCCCCTAATAGATTAACAGCAGGCAAAAACAGCTTAAATATTAGCTTGTGTGTGGTGCAGCTTTACCTAATGTAATGGTTTAAATGTCAGGGATTTGTTTAAATAGCTGCATGGATATCACAATGTGTTTGAAAATATCACTCGTCACCGGCTTGAGCTTCAATATCAGGATACATGTATTTATTATCCTTGCAAGAATGGAAGTAGTCATCACGCACAGAGGTGCATGGGACAAATAGTTCCCAGAACAGTGTCCTTCACCTGCCTTAAATACAAGAGAGGGTATATCATAGTCACAAGATGCAAGAATACTGGCTAAGGCCCACGTAAGCAATACACATGACAGTCATATGCCTATCTATCTGTAGGGGCTGAATCATCATGTTAATCGTTGTCACATAACTATCATATGCCTAAAACAGTTTGTCCTGACGCTCTTCTAGGTAATCATACATCCGGTTACGTACACAGCTACGTAGGGCCTTTGTTATACTCTGATATTAGAAGAGTACATTCAGTATTTTCCTAACACAATGGTATTCAGATTAAATATGGGGGCAATTTGTCATATGTATTGTGAGACATACTGTCACACTGTCCCGAAATGTACACCCGATGAACACACAAATATTGAATTGTGAATTTCGCACGAAAATGGCCCCGAACCACACACGAAAGCAACATTTACATTACATTTAAGACATACAACTGCAACAAAAGTAACACAAACAATTATGTTAAAGTACTATGATACTGTACTGATATTTTCAGACTTTGTTCTTTACTTTATCCGTCTTTATATGTCGAAGATAATTAAGTTTTCTCCGTCATGTTGTTTCCATAGCATCAACAACTTCTTCCAGGTTGCCTTCAAAATAATATATTATATCCTTTTCAGTTCAAATTGGGTTATTTACATAATATGTTTTCATGATTTTGTTGTGCAATTAACAACCAGATGGACACACGATAAAAGAAAGGTTCAAATTCGGCTCTGATCGTAACAACATCGGGCCATTCGTGAGGGCATCTTAAGCCATCGTATGACGCCGGTGGAGTTTCTCAGGCTCCGGCAGCAACTTCGTGAGCGGTGGCAACATCTTTGGCATGCCAAAAAATTGCCGAAGGACCTTGCAAAGGTTCATTTTCGTGTTGAATTCGTGTGTCAATTTTGCCCTTGGTAAGGCCATCGTGAGGGCATCTTGTTATCATCAGTGCCATCGGGCATTCGCCCCGATCAGAGTGACGGTGAATGCCCGATGGCACCGATGATAACACGAAGATGACACGATTTGACAAGATGCCCTCACGAGTGCCTTACGAAGTTGCCGCTCACAAAGTTGCTGCTGGAGCCTGAGAAACTCCACCGGCGGTCATACGATGGCTTAAGATGCCCTCACGAATGGCCCGATGTTGCTACGATCAGAGCCGAATTTGAACATTTCCTTTATCTTGTGTCCATCGAGTGTCAATTCCGGGACAGTGTGAAAGGGGCTTTAATGCCATCCCACTATCCATATCGTCATTTGTAGACACTGATTGACAGTAGGGCTGAACGATGAATCGATTTTAAATCGAAATCACGATTTTAAATGATGCGATCATCAAATCACAAAGCCTGCGATTTTTTTCTTTTTTGATTTAAAAAAAAAAAAAAGAAAAAAAAAAAATTGTTTACAATTTTTTTTTTTTCTTCTTGTGTGTCAGTCATCCACACCAATCAGAAGTGCTGTGCTCCACATGTACCAGCCATTGTTAATCAATCAGAAGTGGCCCATGATAGAAGGTGATAGACAGATTGATCCAATCACCTGCCAAGTGCTTTTGAAAGTGCCTGCCCTTTCCAAATGGCTTCCAGTGGAGCTTTCCTAGATGGTTTGGTGGAGTCAGGTTAGTAATGCTCCATCACATGTTTTACATCTATTACAGGGTGAATCTTAAACTGAAGCTTGACTTTAAAGCAACCGAACGGAAGTTTCATGTAAGTTTAGTTCTTTCACTCGTAGCTCGGGCTGCGGGGGTGCTAGAGACGGGAGCACGTTGATACGACCTTCCTAGCCGGAGTTATGGCCGCATTTTACAATAAACTTCCGTTGGGTCGCTTAAAAACAAATATCGCAAATCGCAATCGCAATATTTGTCAGTAAAATCGCAATTAGATTTTTTTTCCCAAAATCGTGCAGCCCTAATTGACAGCCCAAAAATGTATTTTGGTAATCCCAGTGCTACGGTCTCCTCCAGCTGCAAGAGACTTCAAATCTGATTAAAGCAACATCAGTGAGATTTTTGAGGCTGAGAGAAGTCATCCCTCAGGTACTGAACAGTTTCTCTAATTGGAAAAGGAGAGAAAGCTAAAAACGGCTTCATGAGCTTTCATCAAAATGTATTACACACTTTGCAGGAAACCAAAATAACTCGACATATCCTCAGTTTACTTTGAAAGTCTTTCACACTTTTTGTTGGAGAACAAGGGGCTTGAAACCAAGATGGTTGATAATGTATGCCGAGTACACAGTGACATATAGTGAGTCCAACCCCCCTCATAGGCCCAACCCTGCTACTACAGACAGTCCAGGATGAAATGCTGATCAAATATTTCACTGTGCTTTGAATGCAACAATAACAAGTTATTTTTAGGCACCTAAAGCTATTTTTCGAATTCTGCGGAGCCATTGTTCTGTGATACCAAACAGTTACAGTTTAACACCACGGGGTTACAGAAGGAGACTCAGAGGTGGACCCAAAGCTTCAGTTTTAACATCTTCAAAGGAAACAGAATGAAAAGGGAGATTCTAATTAGTGACAACTTTGTTATCCAATCACTTCATCCTGACCGTGTGATAAGACTAATGATGTGACCCCTGACCTCTGCTTTCTCTGCAGCTGTGAGCCTGCTGTGCTGAGGTTCTTCAGAGGGGAACTTCTCCTCTTCATGCACATGCGTACTTGTACATAGCCAATTAAAAATGTGGCTAAAGGGAACTCCTGCAGAGTGCTACTTCATTCAACAAAATAAAAAGGCTTTCTTAAATCCTTTTGTAGCTCCAGAGGAAGCTGCCTGAAATCTGGTTAATTGCCTCAAGTGATGTCACTCAAGTCGAGTAAAAGTTGTAAAGTGAGACGTCTGTAGCCTGATAGTCCTCTGAGCTTGAGGCTTACTTTATTTACCACTATTATAACACAACTGAATCTCAGACCAATCTGTCATCATCAATGGAATTGCATTCTGCGTAATGTAGTTACAAGGATTCAATGAAAAAGAAGAATTCATGGAATAAAACATATGGTAGGAATCGAATCGACAGCCATTGTGAGTCTGACAATGCATTGTTATTGTGAATAACCAAAGAAGGTCAAAGGAACACAACCTAAATGGACAATACGTTTTTAATATAATGCAATTGTGTCATTACTAAATGTTTCTATCGGTAAATAAAAATTCTTACTGTGTTACATTTAGTGGTAGCTGTGGGACAGAACTAACTTGCAGTGAGTATGTAAACAGAGCTGTGTGTGGCTGTCAGAGAGCCTGAACACCTTTTAAGCTTGTAGAGACATTTTGCACAGGTTGCTATAGAGAAGTTATTTATGGTTCTGCAGAAACATTTACTGACACAGATGCTGCATTCATGTGGTGTCAAGGTTCTGCAAATATGTGGTGAGCTCAAGGATGGCACTTGATAATGATAGTCGCGCAAAAAGAAATTGCCTAAAGCCACATAAAAGCTTCACTTCACTAACATCAGAGCTGAAATTAAATCATCTAGCTGATAGACGCTTTTCAGAGATGTGCAAAAACATTTTTACTGTGGAGGAATGCGGCCTTCATTTACTGTCAGAAATAATGTGCCATTGAAAAAGAAGGACAAATACAGTTTCTAAATCACATCAACTATTATATTTCTATTATTTTTGTCAGAGTAATGTACAAGCCTTAAGCTAACTTTTAATGAAATGTTGACACAAAGAAGTTACATAAATGCTTTTTAACAGAAACAGTTTGTCACACTGTGAGTCTTCCTAAAACACAAAGTGCCCCCCTGTCATGGTGCTACTATGAGCCCCCTCTGTGTAATTGCCCCTTTAGAGCCTTTTGAAAGGCCCTATTGTAGGTCTCTAATTAACTCGTTAAAATTGAATTCAATTTGAGCAGCTTATGCTTCCTGCTCAAGGTGAGTGAGTTAGTCGCTTCTTGTGTGGAGAACAAAGGCTTCAAGGATAACTGAGGTTTAAGTTTCTGTGTCCTTTATGTATTTACTCTCCAGCTTATGAGTCTGTCCTTGAGATGAATCTAAATGTTTAAACACCTGGCCAGTAAAATGATGTCTCTGTGCAGATATTTTATGATTAGGGGAACAGTAAACTAACATCTCCCCTCTCCTTCCTTTCAGTGATCCTGTTCTGCATGGCGGCGCTCATCTTCCCCATAGGCTTCTATATCAACGAGGTGGGGGGGCAGCCGTACAAGCTGCCCAACAACACGGTGGTGGGCTCCTCGTACGTGCTCTTTGTCCTCTCCATCTTCTTCACCATAGTGGGACTTCTGTTTGCCGGCAAAGTCTGCCTCCCAGGCTGAGGACTGCACCCCGCCCGCCTCTGGACTGACACACGAGGCTCTGAAAATGTTACGGGATTTACAAAAAACACAATGACTGAAAATTAAGAACAACAAACTCTGGCTAAAAGCCCGACACAGGGAAGTCTTTGATTTTGTGTCAAGGGACCGCAGCACCACGGAGTATCTAACGAACAAAAAGACTAAAAGAGGCGACATGGACACAATAGGGTGGAGGAGAGGGAGAGAGGGCGAGAGAGGCTGCTGCAGCACCCTGCCACTGTTGATTTAAAATATGGCCATCTCTGTTGTTGTTCTGTTGGAAGAGGGTGCTTAATGTGCTGCTGTCATGGCAACTGCGGTCCCGATGCTGGCACCCATTTCTTGAGGACCTCGCCCGGTCGCCCGCTGCAGCGCCCTCAGCACACACCCGCGCCGTCACGACTGCTCCGGATGCTATTTTTGGCTCCTCTTAGCTATTTCTGTTGTTTTGTTTTTGTACATTTTGTGTTCTCGTTTTGTTTGTTTTTCCTTCCAACCTCCGCCGCCTTTTCACTTAAGTAGCTTGAGTGTTATTGAGGCTCACTGAGCTGAGTCTTTGAGGGTCGTTTTTTTGCCAGCTTGGCTTTAGAGCAGGGTTTATTCTCGCACACCACTTCCCGAGGCCCCAGGTGTGCGGCTGGGCTGAGCAGCTGTGAGCGCAGCTGTCTGCTGTGGATGAGAGGGGGGGGCAGGTCTGAGAGGGGGGGGCAGGTCTGCCGCCTCTCAGGCTCCCACCAGCTGCAGCTCAGGAGCAGGTAGCAGCGTAGGGCCCCCCCCCCCGGGCCGCAGACGGGAGGGCGAGTAATGTAAAGGAGAATGCCACTCAATGGATGACCTAGCAAACATCTTGGCCAATAACTAGAAAAACTGTGCATTTAGAAAAGGATCATCTGAATAGAAAGACAACTCTTGTATTTGTTGTAATGATTCTGTTAAACATGACCACAAAGTAGAGTATTGCATCGCTGTGGTGTTACATTTTAGAAGGGTAGAGATGACCTTGTATAACACTAATTGTAGCAGACAGTATTGACTTTTTATAAATAGAAGATAAAGTTGAAAATAACACAAGCGAATCATGGCAATTGGTGGTATTCTCCTTTTTAATGTTGGACAGGAAGGAAGCGAGCCAGGAGCTTTTTTTTGTCTTGTGGAGCCACAGGGACTGCAGGTCAGGTCCATGGGGCTGGGCCTCAGGCTGCTCCTTTTGAGGTCTGTGAACACACACACACACACACACACACACACACACTTGTCTGTATACTGTACATTTTCAGCAACAAACTATTATTTTTCATTTCGTAATGCTTCATTTTGTGTGTGTGTGTGTGTGCAATCACGGAGCTCTGTTGCAAAGTCTTTACAGTTTGTTTCATACTTCTGTTTCCTGCTCAGCTTCTCTCCCTCTCAGTCTGATGAAATGTACGGCTGCGACACTCTGCAGTGCCCCCCCCCCTCCCGTCTCGGTCGGTCCGTATTGTGCCATGACCTGTTTTTGTTTAATAATGTACAGCCACTCAAAAGGCAGGATCTCTGCATTAGGAAGCACTGTGCGTTGGACAGTATAGGTAACATAGAAGCACCACAAATGTATAAAAAAGAGAGAACTTCTTACCTCATTGTTTTTGTTTCTGCTATTATTTTCTAATGGTGGCAATGTGTGCCCACAAGTTGTCTCTTGCCTTGATCGGATGTCTTCACATAAAGCCTATGATCATAGGAAATTATTTATCACTGAATAAAAAGAGGAAAAATGGGTGTGTTGCTCTGATACAGTTTTTATGATTTATTGTGCTCATTTAAGGGGATGTGAATGGCAAAACACAACTCATCTAATCTTACATTATTTATCTGAAAATGAACATGCTACTTCTGCAGGATAGGATTCAGATGTCCTTCTACTCTTCATTGAACTTGAAAAAAAACTGACTTCAAGGGCAGCCTCTTAGGATGCAGCAGTGAAAGGACGATCTGTGTTCCCAGAGTGCATCTGGTAAATACTGTCAAATGGCCTTGAAGTCTACTTTTAGAGAAGTATTGTCTAAGCTAAGTGATCTAATGAGGTTTATTCATCTTCAGAATTTCGTTTTGCAAAGGCAACTTTTCCTTCAGAATAAAACTTGCTTATCTACACATCATGTTTAAGAGTCTGCGTAAAACATTTGCGGTAAAACATTTCTCATAAAGCAGCGCAGTAGTTGCACCCTTTATTTTTACATTGACCGACTGTCAGAATTATTTGATTTGTTATTGAACGAGAGGGCAGCTTTTGATTGCAAACTAACTTTCGAGAGGTCAGGTTTTAAGGAATTAAAAAAGGTATTACATTTTAGACAAAGTTTTGACTGAGTTTTTAAAGTAATAGCTTTACATTTTAGGGCAGACTTTTGCTTCCATACATATTGTCCTAAGAGAAGATCGATCCATGCAACCAATGTTTGTGTTTTTAAATATAAAGCTATCACCAGCAGCTGGCTAGCATAGCTTAGCATGATGTCTGTAAACAGGGGTAACATCTAGCTTACCTCTCTAGCTGTTTCCCTGTTTCCAGTCTTTCTCGTAATGTAAATGTTAGCTGGCCGTAGCTTCCCGTTTAGCAGAGTACCAATGTTTGTATTTCCTAAAAGTATTCCTTTAAGGCCCATGAAAACTGCGCGAAAACAATACCATCTTCTGAAGTTGGACTTATTAGTTGTTATTTTGCAGCATCAGTTCATTGTTTATTCCGATCAACATTCACACCCTTCAAACCCGCACAACCAATGCACAACAACAGTTCAAACTCAGGACTCCTAAGGAAAGCAGATATATCACACTTTACAAGAATAGCCACAGAGATTTGAGGACCAGTGTTCAACTCTCAGCACAAGCCTACCAAAACAGGTTTTCTTATCACATTCAGCTTGAGGAGTTTCCTTGGCCTGCCATGTCTCACTGGCGCTGTGCAGCGTGTCTCCTCTCAGGACTGCACCTCCATTAACCTCTCAGTGACCTACAGAGATGAGCATAGTGTTTCCATTTAGGATTTCAGAAGGTCACAGTATTTCGGCTAGGCGTATCACTTCAGTTCAGACATCCCTCTGCTCTCTGAAGGCAGAACTAGACGAAAAAGCACTAATGAAATGTGATCTCGTCCGTAATGCAGAGGCTCCTTAAGCATGATTCTGTAATCTCACCTTTTTTCATGAAACACTGCCACAATGTCTAAAAATAATTCAAGGGACACAGATTGTTTAAGTGATGAATTTTGAATATATAATAGAAATATACAATAAAGAATTTGAGTTAAAAAATCAACATTCAAAAGTGCTTCATAATATAATTTGAATAAAAGGAAAACACTTACAATCCAACTGCAATTCAGCATTTAGTTTCAGAGTAAGCGTTAAAAGGTTACAAGCAGTCTTACTGTGTGACACATGCTTCTCATCTACCTTGAAGAATAAGCAGAAAAAAACATATTTACGTTGTATAATTTTTTATATTCTCCTAGTTGCTCCTATGTTGTTTGCTTTCACCCCCTCAACTCAATTTTCTATGTTATCCGCTCTCACAATATGTGTGTAAAGCAGTATCACCCTGCATTAAGTAGCCTACCGACGGGGCGAGAGTATAAAGGAGGCCTCACAGATGCGACTTGATTTAGTCGGCCCCCCTGATCGGAGTTATTGGAAGATGAACACTGACAGACCCCAGATCAGGTCTCTCAATCTAGATGAAGGTGGGAGTCATTTCTCTGGTCCAAAAAAATCACCGTTATAACTAACCAGTTGGTTCGCTAAGAAAGGAATGTGCAGTCCTTTAAAAGTAAAGCAGATTATAGGTACCTACTACCTTCCCAGTGTCCATATTTTAATGCCAATTAAAATGAGCAACCTGAGTGCTGCATCAATACACATTATGCTGGATGGTAATTAATTACAACTGCTTTACCTCAATTAGATCTGATTAGGAAAGTTACGGGTTTGTTACAAGAAATGTCAACATGCAGTACATTATGATGAATTGTTCCAATACAACTTCCATTAGAGGATTTATTCTGGGACTATGTTTCACTTGCTGGGAGCTCAATATATTTAATGTGACATCACCGAGCAATCCTTTTCTAATATTGTGAACATGTCTGTCGTTTAACAACAGCCTGCCATCTGCTGAGCCAATATGTCTTGATGTGTACCCTCTGCTCTGGTTTATATCACTTTTCCCAATTCACAGAGACAATATGGGAGATCTAAGAATTATGACCGAAGAATGGCTCTGGATGACAGACTCAAAAGACACATATTGGCAATTCCAGCCGAAATGATCCAATTCTCTTTTTATCTCAGCATCTTTACCGTGTTAGATTCAGTCTAATAAATCTTCTGATGAAATCTGATTTGTTGTCATTTGCTGTTTGACATCACATTGAAGACAGAAATACATAGAATGCAGAATGCTTTCCTGTTTCGTGCTGCATTCACTGCCTAAACATGACATAAGTTGTGTGGGTGGAGGAAGCGTTGACCAAAAATATTCTGCAGCACCACCTATTCCTGTATTTTATAGAAAGTGTGTGTGCACAGTGCTGCTTCCATGAACGCTGTGCTCATGGTTTACAGTGTGCTGTCCTTCCCGTCTGCCCGCTAAAATAGATTATAGTGTCAGCATGCTGCCAGCACCACTTAGAGGGAAATATCGCTGCCATCTGTTCTCAGGAGAGGCTGATCCAGATTGTTGCGCTCCACCTGAGGATCTATCTTTGCACATTCACCCTATCCTCCTAAAGAGTCCCCTCATGTTTTAAGAGATCCAAAAGTACTCTGCTTGGAAAATAATTTGTGTTGAATTAACTGCTTCCTAAGATTCTTGAAAATCTCCCTTTCTCTCGTTGGAAAATCCAGAATCTATAAATGTAATATTGTACAAGTTAAACTAGACACAAGATGTCTCTGAATGTCCTCGAACAGCCCACTCAAAGTGTATTTGCACCGCAAATTCAAGTTTCCACATCACACTTGTGTTTCATGTTACACAATGGACCTTAATTGTTTTCAAACAAAAATTGTGCTGATACATTCAGGAGTATTTCTGCAACTCTCATATATCACAATAAAGTAAGAACAAGCAGAATACATATTTGAATTGATCGAGGACCTTAAAAAAGGCCCTGAAATATGTGTCCAATGACGTGCCATAACGAATCTTTATAATCACAATATAAAATGCTTTATTGATTCAGAGCTTTGCCTTCACATAGTTGCTGTTATTAAAACGAGTAACACTCAAGGCATTCTTTATAGGTCTAAACAATCTTTTTCTTTTACAATAATGTCGATGCTGATTTTGCTTCCTGTATCATTACCAATTTCCATCTTTATGTTCATTTCCAAATGCATTCAATTAAATCACAAGAGTTTATTTGACAATGCTTTTACAGCCACATACTGTGTCTGCTACAAAAAGGTATATGTAAGCAGTAAAAAGCCAATATACACAGCAGCATCAAAGTGATGTGATTCGGCGGTTTGACTGCTCACAGATGCTTTTTTAGTGCTAACTTTAGCTATTGATCCTTCAGTAGGTGGGCGGCAGAGGACGCAGCGATGATTCCTGTCAGACCGATGTTTGTCTGCGGCTCGTCAGCACTGCAGATCTGCTGCTGAGGCAAGAAGAACAGGAATAAGACTGAAGAGTAGGCTAATCACAATACTACAAGAAACATAAAACGCCATCTCTACAATTTATCTCTGAGTGTGCTATCACCGTTGGAAAACTAATTGTGTGGAAATCAGGGTTGGACTACTTATTTTTATTTTTAAATTGAGCAATTAGCTATAGGACAAATACATACAAGTACAGTGTCACGGATACACACAATAAAGTACCGCAAAAGACAACAATTACAAAATATACATGGAGACACTGTGTGTGTTTTTTTGGTATAATTTAAACTATATAATTGTATTTGTTAAATTCTTGTTTTGGTCATCTGGTATTTTTTTGAAAAGGAATAAGATGGAAATTGTATCTCTTTTAACTTCAGTTTGAAAACAAACGTTCTAACCCTTCTATTGTCTTCGTTCCCCCCCCTCTTACTTTGGTGTTCGCGGTCAAATTTGACTGGTCCTGTTTTAACTGCTATTACATTAACAAAAAAAAACATTAATCAACACCAAATTTTATTTAACACCCTTTCAAACTGTACATATTGTATCAGACTACTGGTATACAAGAAAAACTGCAGTAAATATACAAAGAATAGACACTGAACATGTATTGCGTGTGCCAGGTGTGATCCATGTGGGGGGATGGGCACATAAGAGCGGGAAATGTGTCAAATTGTTCTGTGTGTGTGTGTGTGTGTGTGTGTGTGTGTGTGTGTGTGTGTGTGTGTGTGTGTGTGTGTGTGTGTGTGTGTGTGTGTGTGTGTGGGTGGGTGTTTGTGTGTGTTTTATCTGATCCGGATGGTTGCTGATTCCTTTTCTTTATGGCAGTCATTTTTTTAGTCAAAGTTGACTAAAATTCAATGAAAGTGGTGAACAGCAATTTATATGATCAAATGTCTACTGTGAAGGATATCATAAAGCCTTAATGCAATCGAATGTAAAACAAAAAAGTTATGTTTGATGAAAGTAGTACATCGGTCAGATTTGACCCGAAGACAACAGGAGGGTTAACATATTGTTTTGAACATATATTTAATGTTAATGCCACAAGAGAGATTATATCATTAGTTTGCTTATACCTTTTTATATTCATGGCAACACCTTTTTT